TTAGTAGCTGGTTCACTACTCTGGTTACCGACGAGTCTGTGTCTGGACAAGACCTAAAGTGTGTGTGACCTAAGTGACAAAAAGCTGCCACCAGATCCATTCAAAGAGCCGGATGTCCCTGTGATAGGTGGTCACAACCTTCTTTTGGCATTTCTTTTAAAATCATGAAATTGACCTGGAACATGGTGTCTACTGCTTGTTTATATATTTTTTAACTAGTCTTATACTTTCTAATTTACTAAAGAACACTTTTAGTAAGACATTGTGCAGATAGGATACCTATCTGGACCGATACCTCCAGTGTGTTACAAAAGGGTTACAATAATTTTCATATTTTATTCTAGAAAACTTACTGACACTATAAAAATCGCCGAAACAGTATTAAAGGCAAAAAAAAACAAAGAAAGACGACGTTCACGAAGCAAAATACAAACAGCGCGTTCAAATTTATAACCTGGCCTCGTTTTGACAGATATTGATTTGAAATGGAACGTTGCACTGACTTGTTATTTCTAACAAATAGATGGCGTTAATATTAATTCGCTACATAATTGTAGAGGGCACTACTAGGTAATTATTAAGAGACTGGGGCGTCTCTTCTGTCAGTTGGCTAACCTGTCATGCTGGAAGCGTTAATATTGTAACATTAGCCCTTTAAGAGATCCCCAAAAACGTCTTTCAAGCGTTAGTGTCTTGCCAACGCAGGCAATGACTATAGTTGGTCGGTGGGCATTAATTATTATTCGGAATGGCCAAGGTCATCATCATCAAAATTACACCTTTAACTGCCTCTACGGTCGAACAGTTACTATGCTGGACTATCACACAGAGGTCCTGGGTTCAATTCCCGGGCTGGGAGAAATATTTGTATGGCGTACATTTATTTCTCTCATGAGTTTGGTTGAAATTTGTGGGTTGTCTATGTCTGTGTCCACGCCACCCGCACCGGTGCTAGTGTGCGTTATTATTATCGATGGCTATATATTTCCACAGTTAAGTGTGTGGAAGTTACGTGTTTGGAAGGTACACGCCATAAACTGATTATTGCTCCATTGAGCAACATTTTCATTTCTAAACCGCCGCAATTATGGAAGACGTTTCCTTCGTAAATGCCGTTCCTGTATAATATATAATACAAAATTTTGCCTTTCTTTAATGACATCAAGTGACGCGACGAACAAGTCGTGCATCTGGTGGTAAGCGACACGCTAACCATAGCAGTTGCAGTGCTCTTTAAATTGCAACGATAGGAAGTGCACTACCACTGTACCTGCCACCCTAAGATACCATGTGCCTGAAGTTGCATCCTTTTGTAATACCCTGTATTTATACTAAATTATTCTACAAGTAATAACAATAGGCATAATATTTCAGAATACAGAATATGAAATAAAACTTTTTACACACATCGCGCAAAAGCCAACAACGCCTACAGCCCGTACTGGTGCTTGATTACAACCTCAAGTCTTAGGTTTTCGTAATCGTTACTCATTTGGGCATAAAACTGTTGTTTCAAACAAACCAACGTTTCGGGTCCTTTACAGGTCTCGTGGTCATGAGTGACTGAGAGAGTATTAGTCAACAAATTAGACGATTTAAGAAGCACTGTAGTGGTGCGTCTGTGACAATATATAGTTGTTTATATATTGCTGATTTTCATACAATATCTGGAAGCGCAGCCGCAATGCCACACGCGCGCGTCCTTTTTGCAGTAACAATTGGTGAACTAGGTCATTCTCGGACTAGTGTTCAAGTACATTTTCGTGTAATTATTAAATAATATTTCATTATGCAACACTCGAATATTAAACAATATTGCATGATAAAAAAATCTAATAAGACGCGCCACCGCAGTTTTTTTTATAACAGTCCAACTTGAAGGCTCCCTTAATGCTAGTAAATACAATACGCAATTTAGATCAGAAATAATAGTTTATTTCCCAGCTAATTCTTTGTTTGAATGTAGTGTTGCCCAAAATCGGTCCAGATCTTCTTCTTGCATTTTCGCAAGACCGATACTGCAAGATTTGAGTAAGTACGAGTCTGCAAGAATCTTGCAGGTACGTCAAACTCAGATACAAGCGTTAAGTACTCTTGCAGCAAAACCGAGACCAAAACTCGGTCTAAACCCAATATAAGTATATATAAACTAACTTATATTATGTATAGTCATGGTCGATGTAGTAGTATATAGTCTACTGTGATCAAATATGCGATATAAGTAAAGTACGTTTCTACAGATACAGCTAGTTGTTGTAGTTTATTGCGCGAGGTGTCTCTTACTCTTACTCTTGCCGCTTACATAGCATAGCATTCGATGTTTTTTAATATTTTGGACAATCTACGTGTTTTCCTTATTTTAGAAGCAATTTACAACTTCTGGGAATGCAAAAGTGAATTAATGATGAGCTATTTAATAAGACATTCTTCCCTATATGATTTATATGATCTGTCATGGTTTTTTTTTCTATTTTTCCGTTTAAGTTTTTCAATTTGGTGTGTTTTTTTTACACTTTTGTATTTCCAAAATTGTTACAAACTCTCACATTTTTCATAAGCAATAAAATATAAAATCATTTTTCTACGCTAACAACAGCCATGCCTATTTTCTACTAAATACTACTTTTTTAAAACCATATTTTGTTTGTGCGTTTTTACCAAAATCTAAGATAAAAAATAAAAACATTTGTACAAAAAATAATAAATGAGCACCAACATCTTGTGTTCCACGAATTCTTTTCATACTTTATCCGAGAGTGACATCTATTATCGCAAATTTTAATAAAATTGCTTTTCATACAAATCGACAGAACTGCTGATCAATTTTATAACTCTGCGAATTGGATTAGGTAAACATTTTAAAAAAATTGGATCGACCCTGTCACTATCATATTCCTCTCCTGATGCTATTTTGTTCTAGCTGCAATTATGTTATTGATAAAGTTAATTCTGACCGTAAATAACAGATGGCGCTCGCTAGTTATTAGTTTATTTTAATTCCGTAACGTTGCGAAAGTCCAACTGCAAATCATCTGCCTCAGTTAGGTTAAAATAAAAACGCAAAAACGTACATAGTAATTTGTTCTTAATTTACTAATAATACTATGCATTTTTCCCTACAACGTTACTTTTTAATGGCCTTATTTGTTTCAATTTTGTCGACTGACCATCGAATTTAATATCCACATCACAGTCACTAAGAGGATGTGATATTATAGAAGATGTGTCGTCTTTTTTGTCGTCTGGACTAAGAGGAGTAACGAAACCACTGTCAATTTTGCTTTCCAATTCCTTTGACTGTAGATTCAGTGACATAGATTTTCTGTTCTGAAATATACTAATATCATCCAAATATGATTTTGTTTCCATCTGTTTGTCGTACCTTTTTAAATTTTCATCGAAATCGTGTTTTAGCTGTTGTTCAAACAATCTTTCTTGACGAATTTGCTCATGTGTGTTCGCAAAGAAACCTGTGTTCTTTCTACCGAGTTCTTTGATCGATTCAGATAAAATATCAGTACGGAAACTTTCTGATCGTTTCACTTCGGGTTTTTCATCAAGCGCTCTCAAAGGTACTTGCTTGAGATTATTAGCAATCAAACCAGAATGTACGGATTGGGATTTCTTCATCATAAACTGTCGCCTATCGTTTTCCAAGCTCTTTTCTTTATTCATAGCATTCATGACTTCATCTCTTGATATTTTAGCGAATAGATTTGGTGCACTAGCACCAGTTTTAAAGTTCTTCTTAGGGTCATTGTCTTCATCGTCATTCTGAGTGAATTTTAATAACTTCGAGCTGAAGCTTATCTTTTTCCCGTAATTTTGGCTGATTTTCTTTATTTCTGCCGGCATTTCTTGTTTGTGATGCGCTGTGATGAATCGAGATAAAAGTGTTAATTGTTGTTCTAACAACTTGTTATGACTTTCGAGACGCGCTTGGTTTTTCTGGTAACTAGTTATGGCGTCCATTGCAGACTGCAAAGAAAGAAAAATACAATTATTTATTTCTAAAATGCAACTTTGTTCCCCACAAAGTGGTGCCGATGTACAAGCCAGGGACAGGTTACCTGGATATTGATTTCTCTAATGCTGTCTTTACTTATTTTTTTTTTTAATTAAAAAAGAAAGACGTAGAAATAGCTACTTATTAAAAAGCCTTGGGTTTTCACCTAGGTTCAAGCAGGATATTCCGAGCGGAACCACGTAATTAGTTTAAGTCATTACTAACTCTTGTTTACTTTTGAAGCCAGGAAAATCTCTCAAGGATACCCGTATATCGGAGGTTCACGTAAAATCTTCAAGGTTATGGAGAGACCAGTGCTCTGTCGTTTTTGTTATTGCACACAGGGACACAATAGTACTCAGGTTAAGAAACGAGAGAATTAACGAATCTCAAGACCAGCAGGCAGACCTGGGACTACAGTGTTCTATTTTACCAAGACGGTTGATAGCGCCATTGCAAGAGATTTTGTCCCAATACTTACGTCTAGCTCAGAACTCATTCTTGCGTTGTCAGCAGCCAAATGTCTATTTTCGTCAGTGAGAGTGGCCATACGAGGCATTTCTTCTCGTAACACGGCGTATTCAACAGCATATTCGCTCAGTTGTCGGGAGATATCTAAAGAACGCACCTGGAATCACCGAAAACTACATGAAAATCAAATATTTTTAATTATTTATGGAAACTCAGCAAGCTAAGTAATTTTCTTCGCACCCATTCTTACTTTATGACATACTGTGACGAGACGAACCCTAATGGAAAGCGACACGCCTACCCATAACACATTGCAGTACCACTCTTAGCTTTAAGCCGCAAAGACCTTGAGCCAAGTCTCATGTGCCTGAAGCTGCACCAGCACCCTTACCCTTCAAAGCTAGAATGCAGTAATGCTCACATTACTGCTTCATGGCCGAGGTAGGTGTGGCGGCAGAACTTAAGTAGATGTACCCTTTCACAAAGAGTGATCATCATCATCATATCAGCCGGAAGACGTCCATTGCTAAACATAGACCTCCCCTAAAGATTACATCGGTAACCCAGTCTGCCCTTACCAAGTCATCCGTCACTCTAGTAGGGTCTAGGGGTAGCCGTCCCACTGAACGCCTTCCGGTTGTGGTCTCCATTCCAGAAGCTTTCTGCCCCAACGGCCGTCAGAGCTATATGCCCTGTCCACTGCTACTTTAACTTGCTAATGTTTTGATCTCCTCATTTCTAATTCGAACACGTAAAGAAATGCCAAGCATTGCTCGCTCCCTAGCTCGTTGGGTGATTGAGCTTTTTTATGAGGCCCATGGTAAGCGTAAGCAACAAGGAGCTACTGAAATTGGGGGCTTATTCCCAGTTGTCACCACTGGCGACAAATGGGAAAAAAAATCCCATATATTTACCAGATAGTGACAAACGGGATTAAAAAATCCTAGTTATTGCCAGTGGTGATTTCTACTGGCGACAAATGGGAAAAAAATCCTATATGTAACCAGATGGTGACAAACGGGATAAAAAAATCCCAGTTGTTGCCAGTGGTGGTTTCTACTGGCGACAAATGGGAAAAAAATCCCATGCGTTACCAGGTGGTGACAAACGGCACAAAAAGATCTGTTGTTGCCACTGGCGGCAAACGGATTTAAAATATCCCAGTAGTCGCCAGTGGTAAAAAAAAACAAATGGAATAAAAAATACCAATTAATGTTTGTTTATTGCCGCCATCGAAAGGGAATAAAATAAAATTCGAGTTTAATGATAAAAGCACCACCGGCTTTGTTCCCAGGCCAGTGGTGACAACTGAGAATAAGCGAAATTGGGTTATTTGAATGGACACCGAGCTTTCGTGGCAACCAAGTCATAAATAACAAAACTAATAATTTGCACTTTTCTGCAAAACACTATTACCTTCTTCATAACTCGATGGTACATAGCAGAGTCCATATCTGGTAATTTATGTTTGAGGTACTCCGCCGCTTCTTCGCAGCTCTCACAGAGCATCAGACCGTCTTTGTGAGCTGTTAACAGGGCCAGGGATATTGAGAACACCACGTCCAGGGATTCCAGGAAAATTAGATCTGTGAACAGATGGCAGAGTTCAAATAACAATGTTTTATTTGCCAACCCACTCGTCTTCCGTAATGGAATTATACAGGGTTATTTGTAAAATACTTACAACCTCATCTTAAACAATAACTTTTGTTCCATGACTATTAATCTTAGAGTATATGACCAGAAATAGAGACGAAATATCATTTAATTTGTTTCAAAACTATTCTGCCTAATCATTACGTTGACAACTGCGTTCAGATTGGCCGGCCCGAATTCTTTTTTTTTTTTTAAATAATAATAACGCACACACTTAACATGGCCCCGCACTAGGGAAACCCTGTGTCGCGGGTGCTATGAACACACAATAGACAACCACAAATTACACCCAAACTTACGAGAGAAATAAATGTAGGCCATACAAATATTTCTCCCGACCCGGGAATCGAACCTCGGGACCTCTGCGTGGCAGTCCGGCGTGATAACCGTTCGGCCACCGAGGCAGTTATATTGATGCGTGTCGTCAATTGTTTCACTTCAAACCTATCAGTTTAACTTGAGCTTTGATATAATTTACGAAAATTGAAAAATTACATATTTAATTACCGACGAAATGTGATGTCTGAATCAGATACCTTTTGTTTTATAATTAGATGTTTAGCTGTTTTTCCCACGCCACCAAATGGAACAGCCCCCCTTAGTTAGAGATATTATCTTTATTACAATAAATACAGAATATTTTTGGAATACACGGAGACGTACCTACAGGTCAGTTGTTAGCGCTGTACTATTTCAGCTTTCTAATTTGTGATTCCAGCGCAAACGAGAGTTGATATTTAAAAGTGATATAAGGCCCTTTTGCCTGATGAGTTGCCAGGGATGGATGGCCCTAATTTTGACTCTATTTCTGGTTATATACTCGATGCTATTAACAATTCATCAGATTTGCTTTCGTACGAAAATAAAAATATTGAAATAGATCGCTCTTCTAAATGATGATAACTCTGTACCCGTTAGCCTGCTGCCGCCAATAGATTAAGTAAGATAGTAACCCCAGATGGTTAATGGAATTGTAGTAACGAGTTAAGAGGTGCATGTATTTTGTAAGCCGATCAATAAACGTTAATAGTTAAATTTTGATATCGGTTCCCTTTGTTAGATATAAAACTTTGAATAATTCCTATAGGTAAACTATAGGTCGCTAAACTTACGGGGAAGTTACCTAAGTAGGCAGATAAAAAACTTTCAACGCTCACCACCCAAAAAAAAAAAAAATTAAAAAAACGTATTTTTTGTATTAACTTACAACAAAAAATCGCAAAAAATGAAAATTACATATTTGTAGTATAGTTTATATATATAATTCAGCTTTTTGTTTCCAAATGCGGTAGCACGCCCTGGACAGCTGCCGAGGTCCCCCTAAGACTCTTCAGCACCCATTGGGAAGCGGTATGGACCACTTTGGGAAACTATGAGGTAAACAATAATACAATACAATAACGCACACACTTGACATAGCCCCGCACTAGGGAAACCCTGTGTCGCGGGTGCCATGGACACACACATAGACAATCACAAATTACACACAAACTCACGAGAGAAATAAGTGCAGGCCACACAAACATTTCTCCCGGCCCGTGAATCGAACCTGGGACCTCTGCGTCGCAATCCGGCATGGTAACCGTTTGGCCACAGAGGCAGTTCGTATACTTGTCCCTTCCGCCTCTCGTGAAAAGGCTACATTACAATTTTATAACTTATTTTGGCAAAATTGACAGTTGAAATTTGAAGGGACGACAAAATGGTGAGCGTGCGTAAAATGCGCAAAACTTGGACTCAAGCCTGGACAAGTCGATTTTACTAAGCCACACTTACCAAAGACTCTAACGACGAAACCCAAAGGAAACTGGCTGGTGAACAACGTGAGCATCCAGGGGGCTGCATATAACGCTGGAGAGATATCCAGAGACTCCAACTTTGCGTGGAGCTCAGGTTCGTGATCGCGAAGAAGACGCGAGAGTTGGTATAGCTGCAATGGAAAAATCCTTTATAAATAAATAAAAAGTACTTGATGACTATCCATAGCACACAGTACAGGTACAAAGCCCAAACAATTTGGTAATTGTTGTAAAAACGAGACCTTCGTGACAATGTCAAAAGTAGGTTTTCGTACTAATAGGCAACATTTAGGCAGTCAAAACTGATATTTTAACCAGCTCTTTATCAATTCAAATTGCACAAACAGAAATTAGCTATGGAAGTTTATTTTTATAATGGACACAGCAAGAAAGAAAGGGTGTTTGATGTAGTTTCAGAGAGAGATCTGATTTTTATTACTATTATTCATCAATCTCTACAGATTGTATTAAGCTCCACTCTACAGTATTGCCATGTCCATCTAACCAGAATAAATATTACTACTGTTGGTTTAGTAGATTTTTAATATTGTTTCTTTAAGTAATTTAAGTATCAAACGTGCCGATATTCCCGGGACTGTAAACATCCCAGACTGAAAAAGTCCCAAAATCCAAGCCCTAATACTAACTTCTAAAAGAATTCTGCGATTTGGAGTTTTCAAAGCTAGACCAAATAAGCCAGGTTTCATCACGATGCTTTCGTTCACCAAAAAGCTAATGGTAAATTTGTAATTAAATTTCGAAAACTAAGAGATGGGAGCCCGGATTCGAACCCACGGCCTTTGCTTGAGAGGCGGTAGGTCAAATCAATAGGCTACCAAGACTAGACGATGTGTCTAATTTACTTTCAAAAAAATACCAGACGATGATCTTGAACAACGCTCATCATCTTACCTGTACTTGCAAAGCCTGCATATCAGGGAGGTACTGCTTCCTCAAACCTCGTCTGAACATCAAATGACGAAGTAGGATGAATGCATCTGCTTCTTCCATCTGTTTACAACATTAAACGTAAATCTTACTTTTTGATAGATTTCGTACGGTAAACGATTACCTCTTTCTCTTTCCGAGAAAGAGAAAGAGGTAACCGAGTCTTTTCTTATATATTATGTAGCCAGCAAACAATGACAAGATGGAAAGCGGTCACCATCGCCTTTGAACGCCTGCAACACCAAGGGCGTCAAGATCGCGTTCCCAATCCTTTAGGACCCTTCTCAAACCTCTTTTGAAGAACTCCATGCTGTATTCCTGTGGGAAAACCTCGACACGTTTCCCAGGACAGTCTTTTTTGAAGACGAAATAAAATGACATTCGCAAGGTTGCCTGTTTTCATAAAATTTTAAATAGTCATACAGTCGTTGTCGATAGTTTTATCGATAGATTGTAAAGGAGTAAAAATTTTACCAAATTTATCTGAATTGTGAATGTTACGACGTTCTGATGGTTACTAATTACGTCATTTTTCTTATTTTGACTGCTGGACCAGTATCGAAATCAATTTTTATTCATACACATTTTAATAAAGAGCGGCGAATTTGATTATATATAAAGAATTAAAATCAATTCTTTCAAATCAAATCTTTGTATTTTTAATAGACATAGATCTAAATGCAGTCTATGTATGTATGAATTTACAAAAATTTACTGTTCAAATCTCTACCTGAGGCTACCAGTTGGACGAATAATGGAGCGATGATGGTTGAATGAAACAAGTTCGTTATCTATTGCATAAGCGTAACCAATATTCAGTCGATAGTCGATAAAATATTTATCGACTGCAATCACTAGCTGGTTGCAAGCGGGCAACACTTTCGAGCAATGAACTGTCATTTTACTCAATCTTCAAAAAAGACAGACTACAGTAGCAGTGTGTGTAGTTAGGTAACTTTTAACAAATTTATTATTGTCATTCAATTCACTAAGCAAGCAAGTTAAAAGATAGTATATAGTAATAAATTTGTTAAAAAGCACCAAACGGAATATTAAGAAAATTTTAACACATACATGTTATTTTATCTTTATTATTATTTTTTTATACTTACATGCAACAATAGAACGCCAGCTACAAAACTGAGCCCCTGGCAATACCCAACATCCGGATCAAGCAAGGAGTATGCCTTTAAAATATTATATAATGCTAGTTGACCAGGACCCAAGGCAGATGCAAAATACGAATGCTTAGGGAACGTACGACCTGCGAAGAGAAGACTCTAGTTATTGATAATAAAGATGAGCTCAATAAAATTCGTATATAGTTCAATGAGTTTTAATAAGTACTCCATCGAGTTTTAATAAAATTCACAAGCTCTCTAATGAGTTTCAAAAATTGACGAGTACTGCGGAGTGCTCGTAAATATTAATTTTAAATTGATATATGAATAAAATAAATTAAAACGTCAACAACATTCATAAGTACTTCGATTACTTGCAATAAATTCACAAGTACTCCGATGAGTTTCAATAACAAATTCATTAGATCTCCGATGAGTTTCAATAAAATTCACAAGATCTCCGACGAGTAATAAAATTCACAACTAGACTTAGTCAACTTACCGAGGTCGATAAGTATAGCATGTTGATGTTTAGTGAGGCCACCCAACAATGCCCGGTAGGGTTCGTGATAGTGTGGAAAGTTTCGAACATCGGGTGGCGCTGATCGTAAGCAGTTTTGTTCGGCCAGGAAATACCATACTCCGCCGCGGGACATGCGGGGAACGCCTGAAAGAAATATCATTTTAGTGATATTGCAGTGATAGCCCAGCTTACAGGACGCTTGCTTCTGATTTTGTATTTTAAACTATTTACTTAGCTACCTACACATCATATTAACTAGTCGCGTTTTATTTGAATGTCCTAAGCTAACTTCCTCCTTGTATTCCCCGCTCTGTTAAATTTAAATCACTTCTTATTTGTTTTTTCGTAATTTATCTTTAATTCAGACAACGGCGTCCATAAATTGGTTAGTAACAGCTATGTTAGTAAAAAGATAAATAATGTGCGGAAATAATACTTAATACTAATATTTAATGGCGTTTGTCAGCAAATTCTTTTTCTCACAAACACCTTTTGCTAACGAGCACCTGAAGGAAATGGCGCATAATGGGGGAATCATATCTCCCTACCATGGTCGTCAGGATGGAGTTGCCCCTGGCCCGCAATCTGCAGAGCAGCGAGGCTGTCTTTTCCTCATGATGGAATAATAGTAGATGGTGCTGCAGAAGCGAGGCAGCCTCACATGAACATCCTAAAGCTGTTGTTATATTAGACTCGAAAAGCACTAATGGCCTTCTGCGTAAAGTTGTAGAATTTTTGCCTGCGCACTACAGCACGCAAACCGCCGCGCCAACATGACAACGACCGTTCAAATTAAAAAATAAAGGAGTCCAGGAAACATTGCATTTGTTTGTCTATTGTTGTATGTCAATAATTACGGAGCTTCGGATACATGCATACGTCAAAAGCTAATTAGATGGTTGCACGGAGTATAATCACTCATTGAATATAACCAATACGAGGTATAACAACAAAAGGCATATTTTCAATGTGTACAATAAACCTTCAGTATATCAAACATTAGATTTAATGATTAAGTAACATAATTGACTAATAGTATAAGTATTTATTACCAGTAAGTCATTATAGTACTTTATGTGACTGTTACACAATGAAAGGCATTAAAATACGAGTGTGGGTTATGGGTTCATAAAAACATCACACCAGTGTTTTAATGCCTAATTATGTAAAGTTACATACACTGCTTTATCTACACACATATTATAAGCTCTCTGTGATGTGTTCAGGAACCGCATGTCACGACTGGCGAAATGGCGGCAAATAAAAACTTTTCTCACGCATGTCACACAACCGTAGTTTTTATTTAAATAGTAGACAAACTAGAGCCGTCCCCAAGTATCATATCGTTCGATATCAAGTAACGTGTGAAATTTGTCAAAATTGTTAGCTATTGACATTTCATTTGGAATAAAACTTAATCTTGACTGATATTAGAAAAGAGGTCCAATCAAATTGTTTAGTTTTTCAAAGATGTTGTTGTATTATGAAGCAATAATAACATTTTAACAGATAAGAATTTGTTCTAACAAAACAGTTTATCTTTATGCTGGTCGTAATTTGCGGTTTCTGAACACATCACAGAGGGTTTATGTTATGTGTGTAGATAAAATAATACAATACATTTTTTCGTTACATATCACAAAACAATACACACCAACTCATGTATATTAAAAATAACGTTTTCATACCAAAAATAGGATTTCTCATCGAAATGCCTATTGATTTCGTATCAAAATTTAGTATTGGCGATTCGCCGGCCGCTGCCGCGGCACGCTCGCTAACCTCCCTCGACTCGCGGACCGCTGTGGTCGCAGTTCTAATCTAACCTAGAGGAACCAGCAGTTGTACAAGATTATTTTTATGTGTTCTCAAGCTTAATACTCCTCGCTGCGCTTGTCATTGCACCTAAAAATACTGGGATTATATTTATAATAATATAATACTCCGTGAATGTTATATCGGAAATGTTTATACAAAATGTACATTATGCCATCGGTACATTAGATTGAAAGTTGTTATATCAATCGTGTACTAAACCCATCATTTATTGTTATATCTTACGATCCGCATCCAAAATAACCATCCAACTTTGTATAACACCCTAGATCAATATAGTCTATTCGATTATTAAATGACCAATGTTGAGCTGTGACAACACTAACCTTGTATAACAGCCTGGGTCAACATATGACGGTCGACTTTGGCTATCGGTTGTGATTTATCTCTTCTTGAGAGCAAATTATCCCACATTAATGAGACCCCTGCGTCACAATACCCGAGTTCAGTGTACTCTAGTTTTATACGGCGCACGGCTGACGATTCTTCCCTTTCTGAAAACATAAAGTTATATATTTATAATAAATTTAATTTCCTTACAGAGTGCTATTATTTCATTTTATTTCACGCACGCACGCACGTAAGCACGCACGCACGCACGCACGCACGCACGCACGCACGCACGCACGCACGCACGCACGCACGCACGCACGAACGCACGCACATAATACTTTTTCTTATATCATAATCTTTTATTTTGCTTATAGTACTCGCCACAGAACTGAAAAATTTTATTATGGTACACAGAACTATAGTTAGTTTAATTGGCCAAAAGTTTATGCAAAACATAACATAAACCCTTACCTTTAAGTCTAGCGTTTTCATTTTCCATCCGAACTAATAATATTGTCTGATCGATCGCCATCTTCCATAGCTGACGAAGTTGTTCCTTACTCCTTTTGCCAGTAGGCTGTTTTGAAGGTATACTAAGCAGGGCTTTCGATGGTAGCTCTGTGGTCATAAGTAGAACAAAATACAAATTGTAACATTACAAGGGTGATGGTACGAAAGATTGACATTTTAATGGGAGCGTATCTTTAAATTTGAAATAATTGTTTTTAGTTTTTATATGAATAGTGATCAGTTTACTGATAAAATCACCTATTTCTGCCGCCAAGCAGTAATGTCAGCATTACTGCATTCCGGTTGTGAAGGGTAAGGGTGCTGGTGAAATTACAGGCAAATGAGACTTATCAACGTAAGTCTCAGGGTGACGGGCGCAGTGGCAGTGCCACTCAGATCCTGGCGATTTAAGGCTCTGAGTGGCACTGCAGCTGTTGTGGACAGGCGTGTAGCTTACCATCAGTTTCATTCTGCTATCACCTAGTTTCTGTTGCTGCTAGCTGAAAATTTACTTCTAATATTTTGTTCAAAAAAAAACATTAGTTTGAAAATAAATAAGGTCATTACCTTCCTGGGTTTCCGGAGGTTGGACAACCTTCTCGTAGATAGCTTGTCGCCATGTCGCATCGGGTTCGATTCCCGGCTGAGTTACGCTAGGACGGTTGTCACTTACTTTCAGAAAACTGGAATTATTATATTAATTTATTATTATTAAAAGTACCCAAATATTCCGAACTTTGAATTGAAACTTAAAGGTAATAATTAATTTCAAGACGCAACAAAATTTGAATTTAAGACGCATATTTGACTTACATATCCATCATAGGTGAGTTTCCGGGAGGACTGCCCTCCCCTGTATCGTCTCTAACATCCTCCTCATTTTCCTCTTCTACCGTTGATGCGATAATGGGGGACGAAGGAGCCTCTGTATTACAAGAATACATTAAATCACATTATCACCATGTCATTGTGTGTTACTGGCATTAGGCGGTGAACGTGATTGGCCCAAGCTTTAAAGTAATCGGTAACATAAATATAAACTAATAATTTACTTAGTTTATAATATTTTGTGTGTATGTATTCACTATATATATATATATATGGTAGGAGAATATGGTCTTTTGTACTTCCAGATGTGAAACAGGGTACCAAAGAAGCTAGTATAAATATTAGAATCTACAAATAAAAGGATTTGTACCAGATTGATTAGAGGACACTTGGCTTGGAGTAATATTATATAAGAGCTCTGTAAGATACTACATTTTGAAATAAGTAACAATGTTAAGATGTCGCTGTGGTTTGAATTTACTTAGGTGCATAATTTTAGTTATATATATTTTAGTAATGAGAAATAACTTTTGTAATTTTTCGGAATAAACAGTTTAAATTGTTTTTTAATTTATTTTTTTTTTTTACGTACAGACAGAGATGTCTGTTCCCGGACAGTACGCGAAATCGGGTTCATCTCCTAGTTTGCCACCTTTAGAGGTGGCACATTTTCTTCAAATTTAAATAGGGCCACTACTCTGTGGTTCTCCTTTTTTTTTGAAGTCGATAGATAACTAGAATTTTGAATTACAATTAAAAGTTAGTAACAAATTATTACATACAATAATTACGATTACATTTACAACTGAGATCCAATGTCGCATTAAGGATGAGTCTTGCTTATCCTATTAGTTCTGTCTAAGAGAAGAAACCCTTTTTCTATGCACACCAGCAACTCCGTCCGCACGTGCTAACAAAACCTGATCTGAACAACGCCATTGCCTTCAATACTTCAAGAGACTATAATCTTATTTCGCATATTCTCGAGAAGTTGAAAGGTGCCATTCTTTTGTTTTAATACATTTCAGTGAACCACAAAATCGAAAACCATACCATTGCCACCACCGTTGATGAAAGGTGACTGAGACTTCCTCCTCGCCGCCTCAGGAGTTAACAGCTCAGGGCCTGAGTCTAATGAGATTTCGTGGATCGGAAGGGGAGACAGCTCCTGAAAAAACGAACGGTTACTAATGATACCAATGTTTAACTACGATGACTTTCTAGAATAGCGGCCTATCTCAAAAGTATCTAATTCATCAGGAAGATGGTTAGAAAAAAACTGCAACGTATCTTCTGCCATAAGTTGTCATGAGATTATTCTAAATGAAAGATGTTCATAGAACAAGAGTGGATTGCTTTTATGCAACTATGCGACTATAACCCCAACCTCATCCTGCTCTCGATAGTAGATAGCCTCAACTGTCCATACATGACATACAGTATCATACGTATGTTGCACTGGTGTTAAGCGACACGCCTGTCCATGCACTCATAGCTTTGAGCAGCAAAGATCTGAGAGACACCGTCACTATGTCTGTTACCCTAAGACATAAGCTGACAAGTCCCATGTGCCTGTGATTTCACCAGCACCCTTAAAAACTGAAATACAGTAATGCTTACATTACGCTTGGCGGCAGAAATAAGTAAGTTGGCAGTAGTTCCCTGAACGACTCTTTCACAAGGTGCTCTACTTCTACTAATGTTCGTAAATAACTGAGAAATGCACTAACATTAATGCAAACAAATATTCTGAAATACAAAAATAATGAATTTACTAACAATAGCTAAGCTATTAGACAACTGTTTGATGACAAATTTATTAATGTGATTTAGGTAAGTAATTATTTTTTAGTGAATTTATTTTTTGCCGCAAGAAGATGTGTGCTTTATTCATACTGCCTTTATAAAGCAACGACATGTTTCCTAACTAATTTTATTCTAATGAGCCATGACACTGGAGGACGTTAATCCATAACGATTATTTGATATCCTAAAGACGGCGTCTAGAGGGACTGTTACCTTCTTAACCTGTGTAACGTCATCTCTGCTAGCTCTTCGTTTGAGTAGATGGTCGAATCCACTGGACAGAGAACGTTTCGCCTTCATGAATATAGTGCTGCCACCTAAGTACTGATTCAGGAACTCGGATCTGAAAAAACGATTGAAATTTGAAATAATCTGGGAGTTTCTTTTTATTTAAGAGTATTCCTAATCTTGGATACCACACTTGATATTGAACGGTGAACAAATATTACTAACTCTTTCAAAGATTTTATGTCTAACCTTTTCAAGGATGTCTTTTTCTATAATTATTAATGCAATTGTTTTTATATTACCAAGTGACACCTAGTGGAAAGCAACACGCCTGTCCATTACAGTTGCAGTGCCACGCAGAGCTAATTAAATGGCAAAGATCCGATTTTTCTACATTTACCCAGCTGTGGATCGAGCCCGGGATCTCAGAGATAGCGATACCATGAAAACGGGTAAGAAAGCCACTCGACCACTGAGGTCGCCAAGCACTCGATGTAGCGACCAAAGACCAAATAGGTCGACTATTGACCATTTTCAGCACGGACATATCTCGGAATATTAAAATGAAGAGAAATAAGGCACTCCGTTTTGTTGGGAAAAGACAGGCCTATGTTTTAGCCGCATTATACGTGTACCTGTTCGCGTCTCCCGGATTAGAGCCGCTTTCAGGCTCAGTTTGAACCATGTAACCATCGCCTCTCGTTTGCACAGGATCAGCATGGATTTATATAAGGATATTAAAAATTGAAACAAAACAATAACTTCATCCCCTACATCAATTGAATCTCGAAATTTCAACGTGTTATTGAACCAGTCCCAGAGAAATAAACGCTGTGCGGAATAATAAAATCTGTGCCCACCTATTTTCCGCAGTATCATGTACATGCCTCTGTTGCTTCGCTTCACAATGAGCCCTTAGCAGCATCATTAAAAAGGCGTTATGTTCACCAACCTGAAATAAATAAATAATAATACAGATCACAAGCATTCGTTAATCACCACAAAAATTTAATGGTTGTCACATGAACTTCATTCCAACTGCACTGCAATTGCAAAATAGCAATGGACATGCTGTTGAAAAAACAGACTGCACCCTGGCGGCTATCTGACAATGATAAAGAATGCATGCAAACTGTTTTCTTACCCCATACATATGGTTGGTGCCACCTTGATACTTGGTGATAAGCAGTTCCTGTTCATCTTCAGGCAACTGTTCTATCCGGCGGAGGATGAACGCATGCGTCTTCTTTTCGTTCATACCTGAAAAATAGTTATATAGTTACCAAAGTAAATTCCTGGAATTAGTTTTATCGTAAATATGCGAACATTTGTCCAATCAACCTAGAAGAGGCCTTTGATCTCTTTGCTATACTACAAGTCGAGAGAGAACTCCAAGGTATATATCCGTGAGCTACGTCCATGGTTCAAATCCCAGTGGCGGTTGGACCTATGTTTATAATTTCTAAGTTGCGTACATTTGAAACATTAAGTTTATAGAATATAACTATATTTTACTATCATTATTTTGAATTATTTTGGGAAATTACTCCACTAGTTTGTTACAATTGTTAATACAAAGGTCTAACATAAAGAAAGTTCATTCCATCCAGCTGGATTCGAACCACCGCTTTCATTACGTTAGTTCATTCGTTCCATAGTTCAGTTGGAAGAGCGGCAGCCACGGTATGGTAAGACGCTGGTTCGAATACAGTCGGATCGAATTAATTTTTCTTTGTGTTCGATCTTTGTATTAATAATTACGTACATTTGTTAATGTTTAGTAGCAATATTTTTCGTTATTAGTAAAGGAAAACATCGTGATGGAACCTGCATGTAAAAGAAGGTTCACAACCCCTGGAAAACATGTGTAGTTCCTGACTCACAATGATCCAGCATGACGGACTATAGCCTAATCGTCTTCGTAGAGGAGACCCGTGCTCAGGTTGGTGGTGATGATTAATAGTTTAGATTAGATTAATTAAAAGCTCCGAAGGTTGGACTTGAGAAAACAGTACTGTACCTTCGACATCGTGACATAGTCTGTGATACCACAGCATAGGGCAATGCTCGCAAGTCATGTTTGGTGATTTTTCTCTCGACTTCTTCAGCAGCTCAGCGTGCGCGATAAATGCTTGCCTGATTGCTGGAACAAGATGATGATAAGTATTATGTTTGTGACTTAAGTATGTAAACATAGTTTCATCACACTTGCTCCTAAACAATGTTATGACATGCAGCCGTAATATCCTAAATTACGCCCACGGGCCTCTTCATTTCCTACCGCCCAAAGGCGGTAATGATTTTTTTTTTACTTGCACTGGACTTTTCTTATACATCAAGCTTAAACAAAAAGTATTTCGCATAAGTTTGAAGTATAGAAAACAAAACTAAACATTTGGAATTGAACTATATTTCACTGAATTAATGTTATAAATAGATAGAAAAGCCATCCAGTTGTTTACAAAAAAAATAAACCCGCCATTTGCAAAATCTGTAATTGTTTTGTTGTGAAGCGATATTTATTCATACAAGAAATAATTGTCATTGTATTTATTTCCTCGCAAATGTGATGAAAAACTTTCTATGTAAAAATAAAAAAAAAATAAAAAAAAAAGTAAAAATTACAAACTTCGAGTCATTACGGCCCTCAACCTTAGGTGTCAGATTTCTAATAGACTCTCGTTAGTAATTTCTTATTTACCGCCCTCTATTCATATCTAATTAACTTACCATTTATAACTTCGGTAGCTACCGAATCGCTCTCACACTTGAACACGTAACACGCGTATGCATCGTTTGTACTCTCTCTACAGACGAAACCAAAATGATCCTTATTAAGGCGGCCTAAGACGCAAGATGCAACGTCCTTAAACGCTCTATGAAGTAGAATTTGCTTGCGGTCCGGACTTATTAGACGAAGTTCAGAACGGCCAACCTGAAAAAGGTAAAAATTAGTTGAAAAATATTATTGACTTAAACTTTTGCGATTTTCACACATTACTTAAATTGATGACCATGTTCATTCATCATGGTCATCCATCAAAACAAAGTCCCTTCAAGACCAAGGACGTTGTAACCCGTACGAAACATGGAGGTAAAAAAATATATTTACACATGATTCAGTCCCGATATAAAACTCAAATAATAAATCCAAATGTCTATTTAGATAAATCTTTAAGGCCACTCAATTACGTATTGTTGCTTACAAATTTAGATAAAAACTATTTTGTGGCGTCGTGTAGCACCGAATCTCGCAGTGCTAATGCATTCGGACATTAAGCGACAAATAAAAATTAAACATAAATTTTGATATGTATGCTTCCAGCCAATTTCGAGTAAGGAAACTACTTCAGCTCCGATATTGGCGGCGTTCGTGGGCTCGCATTACCTGGAACAACATGGTCCTATTTTGTTCCCCAATAAATTGTGCAATTGGAGTCTTCAAGTTCAATGTGCCGATCGAGGCCGATCGGTCTCGTAAGAATGGCTTGTTCTCCGGCATAGATGATGTCATCTTAGGTAGTTCTACAACCTGAAACACCAATAATTACATTGGTTTAAGTTACTATACTAATGGTAAAAGCAGGCCTTTGTCAATGCGACATGGAGAACTTGAGATGTTTTCCAAGGATTCTGACAAAACCAGTTACCAGGCGGTATTTCTAATAAACATTGGCAAATGTATGAAACTTTGAATTTAAAGAGGACTTTAAATTCTAAGGTACCCACCGCCACAGCGATTCGAACTATTGATATCTAATTTTTACAAGAAATCATTCTCCCATTATACTACTACCGCCGTTACCAGGAGACCTAACTGTAGGACGTATAATGGTAGACGACGATGATGATGGTAAAAGTAGAGAAGGGCTATTAAGTAAGAACGCTTCGCTTGAGTCCATTCAACAGACGGAAACCGATCATTGTTAGGAGATCATAAACTTTTTTGATGTGTACATGACTTTTATGACCCCAATATAAAACGTGTGTAGAAACGGCTGTCGAAAGGGTGTTCGAGAGAGAGAGAAATCTATATCACACTGTTTGCAAGTTCTGGAAGTATTTTGTGAACCTATTCGCTTCTGTGTGATTCCTTCCACCTAGTTTCATTGTTCTGTCAAATTTTGAGTGAAAATAAAAGTAAAATAAGATCAGAAACTAACATAATCGCAAACATTCGAAATTCGAAATAATTCTCTTTTTAAATTGATTAAAAGTTTATATTCACATTTGTTCTAATTTCTAAATTAGGTTAAGTTTGTTCATTTCACAAATTTCTTAACTAACCAAATTCTTACCTTTTTGGGCTTTCTAGAAATTTCATCAAAATTTAACGGAGCAGGACTATCTTCTCTTTTTTTCTCTGGTATTTCTTCATTGTTAAGACTATTTGTTCTCCCTTTATTATTTTCACTTTCACCAACAAAATTCAAAAGATCTGACGAATCCTGCTTATTCACTTCAGGTGCCTTAAAATTATTATTTTGAATTATTGGTGGATTTTCCTTTACACACGAATTGTTTTCATTGAGACATAATCCTTCCATTTTTAGATTTTCTTTGACACTTGAACTTTCTTTGATAATCGAAGTATCTTTAATACCTGATATATTTTGATACGAATCATCTTCTCTAATACAAAGTTCAGTTTTCAAGAAATTCGTCTGACAAAATTCAGTAATAGAAGATGCAGTTTCAGAAATTATGGAGTGTATTTCTTCATGCTTTTCTTCATCCTCGGTTAACGTATGTAGATTTCTTTCTTTACAATCTGCATTACTTTTGGGTACTAACACGACTATATTAGGTTCCAAAGGTACAGGATTTTTTTTAGTGCTTATGCGTTCTTTGGAAAACATGTCAAATTCCTTGTCAATGTCCTTTGGTTTTTCTTTTTTGTCTTTGAGGTCTTCGATACTTTTCCATGGAGTACTTTTATCCGGTTCCAAAGGGGTCGTACTAGTAATGAATGAAAGTTTTTTATTTAGGACATTTTCTTTTGTTTCTTCTAAGTTTTCTGTTGAATCGTTGCTATAAACTGATGTCTGGAATATTATAAATAAAATGTTATCCAATAATAATAATGACAAGCATTATAGTGTATGCCATCGATACAATAAGGAGAAGAAGATTTATTAATGGAACATACGTCATTTGAACTGGCACTTTTTTATACAGGTAGTACCAAAATTATTTGGGCGACGAAGCCAACCAAAGATACCTCCTCCTCGGACATTATCTATACACTGAGACTGGTTATTGTACAGTGTTGATTATAACCTGAAAATCTTCAGAAATTATTACTTTGAACTTACCCCAGTAGAGGAAAGCAAACTATGTCGTCGAAGTTGCGAAGCCTTCTCGGCCTCGTGCTGGGCGAATTTGTTAAGAGCATCATCGATAAGAGATTCTGGGACTTTACGTTGGGATATGCGCACTTTACCGATGTACAAGACCTGTAAATTGAGAATTTTGTGTGAAAGATATGTAATACGTGAACTACGTATATCTTTCACACACAGCGGCAGATCTCTACTTATATTCTCTTACTTGACATCAGTCAGAATATACTTATTTTCACCTCCACTCGCATTCATTTCTTATACGCATAGATAAACCTTGAACTAGTCTTTTTCAAAGATATCCTTAATCAGATGTTTCAATCTCATTTTAATGCCCTAGTTTCTTTTTACACATATGCCTGTCATCATCTTCAACAAGTAAAAAGGAGTTCTTCTGTAAGCCATTTCAATCTGACCTTTCTAAAAACACCAACTGCATTTCTAGTATCTGTGTGTTACCATCACAGAAAAATCTTTAGTTGAAAGCTATCAAATAAGTTGATGCAATCTACTCTACCACTCTATCGTGAAGCCAAAAGTCTGTATATTAAAAATTGAAAATGGAAATACTTAATTTAGTTGTCTCAGTGACAGCTAAATTAAATATTTTCAATTTTTGAAAATGACATCTATATTCTTGAATCTATCAGATCTAAATATATCAATTTATGCGACCACTATAGAAACTAAAATGTTTCTTAGTGGTTTAAACAGATGTGTTGATCTTGATTTTAAAATGAAGCTGTAACTAAGCCGGATCGAATTGACACCATTATGGGAAGAAAGGACTGATCCAAACAAAGCAGTTTAGTTTGCCGCCGCGAACAAGTCTGATGAATTTGTGTTGTTAGGCTGTCACCGCTGTGTATAGCGTAAGAAGCTATAAGCATTGGTTTCATTGAACCAAGTGACGAAGAAACTTCAAGTTAAGGATGGTGTATACTCGTGGACATATTTAGGGAATGGTTTGGCTGCAGTACTTAGTTTTTCACAACAGCAGTCTATAATATTAGGATTGCCATAATGTTGTCCAATAGGAGATGAAACCCAAGATGCTTATTCTATTGTCCTCTATCTATCCGTCTCCTTCTATCTTTAGAGGATAGCTAAAAAAGGTTAAATTATGCTAACAAAATTCAACCTTTTAATATACTAACTGCCTTTGTGGCCGAACGGTTATAATGATGATCTGCCACACCGAGTTCCAGGGTTCGATTCCCGGGACAGGAGAAACGTTTGTACGGCCTACATTTATTTCTCTCATGAGTTTCGAGTGTAATTTGTGGTTGTCTATATGTGTGTCCATGGCATCCGCAATACAGGGTTTCCCTAGTGCGGGGTTATGACTGTGTGAGTTATTTATAAGAATAAATCGATTTCTCACCGATGACGCTCGTTAAAAACCAAAAACAAACATCTACACCAAGCACATAGAAAGATTCGTAAGGTCTGGTGGTCCGTTCGGTAGCTCAGTTGGGAGAGCATCTCTCTTGAAGGCGCTGGTTCGAATCCAGGTGGATCGAGGGAATTTTTCTTAGTCTTCGGTCTTTGTATTAATAATGAAACAAAGTGGGGTGGTCAGCTTCACATGTGATTGGCCAACACCATAAGTTTATTCAAAATTATGATAACAATGTTCTTATGAACCACAGGCCACATAATACCAGAACGTTTAATTTGAAAAGAGAATGACTTCAACCATCTTTTGATTTCGATTTTGTTTTCGAGTTTTTTTTTATGATACCAAGTCTAAGTATATGTCTGTCCAGAATAGTAGTAGTGCCACTCAGAGCTTTAAATCGCAAACTCAGAGCTTTAAATCGCAAAGATGTGCACTGTTTCTGTGCCTGTCACCCTAAGACGTAAGTTGACAAGTCCCATGTGCCTGTAATTTCATCAGCACCTTTACCCTTCAAAACCGGAACGCGGTAATGCTCACATTACTGCATGGCGGCAGAAATAAGTAAGGCAGTATTTCCCTGGACGAACGCAAGGGCTACTCTAGTGCCACTAAAATATGCCAAAATCCGGGTAGTGGATCAAGGAGACGTAGTCGTCGATCTGGTAGTCATAGTTTAGGGTCGAAACACTAATATTGCGACGATACAAAATTTGCGACGCGAATTGCTGCTATGCAATTCGTGCGGCATGGCATCTCACTGCCTCGGTTCGGGTAACCATTCTTTCGACGACCAACAATCGTCTGAACGTATTTTTTAAATAGGTAGCGACATGGATCGTATATAGAGTTGGCCAGAGTGAGAGGCAGCACCAACAGTCTTCTTAAGGTGGTAGCAGAGAGGATGGACAGCCCAATGGATGTCCATCCTTATTCATGAAAATGAACACTTTGCTTTCTACGCTTTCTACTAACATAGTTGTAAATACCTGCTAACACCATATGGACTTGTAACTGTCTGAAATAAATTATTTCATTTCATTTCATAGAGTGTTGCACTGCTGTTCTTGATAAGAAAGTATAGGAAAAAACACAAAGAATATTAACATCGCAGGAATGCGCGATACGGAGCAATTCGCAAATTCTTGCGATGCATCGTGCGAGCCCTATGGGTCGAAACACAAAATTTCTTGGTTTGTATAGAGATAAATAGTCTATTGTCTTGCACTATGCGTGAAAAGTGAGACAATTACCTCAAAAAAATGTGAATCCGAGGGTGATAAGTCAGCACAAAGAGATGTGAGAGCCGATGCGTTGCTGATGCTCCTTACTAAGCCGCCTTGTGCTGTCTCGTTCGTCCTGAAATTATTTATTTTTATTTATTTATTTAGGAAAACATACAGTCATATACAATCTTACAAGAAATATATTAACTTACTAAACAAACCAATTTGTTCCATTAAATACGTACAGGTATTACAAAATATGAGTTTGTACAGTAGACACCTATCTAAAATACACATACAGAAAATAAATAAAACAATATATTGTAGACAGTAATTCAACCTGTCACAGAGGTTTTAGTTTATTCACGGGGTCCTCTGTCAAATATAATATTTCCGGAAAAATGTCGATATCTTTAAATTTCTCTTTATAGTACTTACACAAGTGTCGAATAAATGAGTTTTTGGCGTAATTCGTAGAACACGGGCAACAATAAAAACAACAACATGATAAGTACATTAAAGTACTAAGTCTCTCGATTACATCTTCAATATCGGTAGCCCAACGGTCCCGGGTTCTATTCTCGGTAGGACCAATTTGGGAAATGAACTTTTTAAATTAATTCTGCTCTAGATTTTCATAACACGGCAAATTCCTTAGTTCGAGACCAGATAATTGTTGTGACTGTCTTATACAGTCCACAGCACATTGGGCTATACACTTTTGTTCGAATATCGTCCCCAGTGCAACGGAACAAAATCTGTCAATATGTAGTGATATTGCTGTCTGTTAATTACTATTAATTTTCGCCTATAGACTTTGACCTGCATCCCTCGAGTGGTCCCTCGAGCAGGATAACTTGTTAACGCAGGGATGTTGGGTGTGCGGAAAGAAAGATCTTCGTTTTCACAAATACTGAATATGATTAGATAGTACTGAATTTATAGCGAATATAATAAAAATAGCAAACAGTTGAGGAGCATTCGTCGCTCCGTTCTCGAAGAATAAAAAAGATGTGGTTCTTGACTACGCTGATGCAAAGTAAAATGCCACGGACGTGCCGGCTGCACTTTTTTGTTACGTGCGTTAAATAATTGAGAATGGGACAATTTTTCAGAATGTATTTACTTCACATTATCCATAATGGATGTAAGTTACTGTCGAAAAAAAGTTATTATTTAAAAAAATACTTAAACCGTGGTAGCCGAATGGGTTGACCTACCGCCTCTCAAGCAGAGACCGTAGGTTCGAATCCAGCCCGCACCTCTAAGCACCTCGGAATTTTCGGTGAAGGAAAACATTGTGATGAGACCTGCTTGTCGAAGGAAAAGGAGAAGGTTCACAACCCTCGGAAAACTTGTTAAGTCTATAGCCTAAACCCTCTCCTGAGAGAAGACCCGTGCTCAGCAGTGGAACGTATATAAGGGTTGATGATTTAATGCAAATTAAAAAATTATGCCGCTCAAACGGCACTGTGTTTCAACTTGGAACGCATGATGTCATTACTACTGTCCACTAACTAAAACAAATATCCGTTATAAATAGCATAAGATAGAGAATAAGATTCTCTTTTCACAATCAGTTTTGGTTTTATCACATCCCACCTACTCTACAAGTACACTCATTTGTATAGCGTTATTTTTTACTTTTTGATTTGCATTTAAGTCTTGATTTACGCCTAGTTAAGTCTATGGAATTTATGTTAAGTCTACTGAATTATTTTTAAATTATTTTCTCACACACACTGAAAACCAGCGTTACGCAGTGTTTTCATACGTCTTGTTACAAAAAGCTGAGTGGAGACCATTCTGGTAACTTTTAAATGTAATTCTTTTATTTTGTATTTATGTTGTGTAGTTACATTATGTCATAAGTTTACCAAATACACTAATGTCCTTTCTTTCTTTTAAAATCAGTTAAAATTAGTTAATATGTTCGACTTATTGGAACTATACCTAACGATGCATAACTGAAATATCATTACACAATTTCAATGTTCTAAAACTGGGTTATTATTTTTTTATGATATCTCAAAAAAAATATTTCACGTAGCCGCGATTTGTTGGCGGACGGCAGATTACTGGGTAAACCTTGTTACTTATATTTAAGACTACGCATCAATTCTTGAATACAATCAAAATACTGTACTGTAATTTGCGAATAAAATAACACAGGTATTATTGTATGTAACATATGTCTTGTCAAATACTATATTCATAAAGTTATTTTAGGCCAAAACAAACGACCTTGTTTGAGAATGTTAAACATTGCCAGAACAATACATAGTGAACACATTAATATTACTATTTGCTAAAGTCCGAACTTCGGGGTCTTTTGCGTATTAAAGAAACCGACAAATTACGAATGGCACTCCAAGAGCAATGCTTCCATTGCTCTAACTTTTATATCGTTCAAAACTATCTATAATACCATATTATAGAGGTAAACTTAGTCTATTTATACAGGGTGTAATCGTTAAGTGTGCCCAGGCGATTATTCCATAAATACAGGAGGTATCAAAAAGCTTTAAACTGATATCCAAAGTATGTCATCTAATGAGTAAATCAACACCAATAGCTTTTTAAAAATAAAATTAGAAATATCTATAATTTTAACGTTAAACAGTCCCATACATTTATTATGACATTCGTCGGGAGGCTTTAGTTGACCTACTTTAAAACAATAAGTTTATAGATAGTAAAACTGCTATAAATAAATTAATAAAACGACATTTCAATTGAATAAAAATATAATGGCATAATCAATTAGTTGGTCAAGTGTGAGTTGTCCTAAATTAATAAAATTGATCAATTTTTTTAGTGCTGAACAACTCAGTTTCATGTAAGGATCATTTCATTGTTTGGGACAAAAAAAAACGAGTCAGCAGAAGTTGGTTAAATTGAATCAAATGTTGTTTTAAAAAAATTGCTGATAATATCAATGGATTTGAAATTAAAACAAAGAGCCGTCATTTAGTTTCTAGAAAAAGAAGGTAATACATTAAGGTCAGGTCATACAGATGCGGTACAGCGGGAAAAGCGGTCCGGGGCCGGACCTGCGGGAAGCGAATGTGTACCGAGGCGTGCTACACAGCAGTCCTTCACGGCGGGACAGCGGCACGAAGGTGGCCGGTGTGACACCGAAACTACACACTGATTTTAAAGAAAGCACCATATCGCTGTCGAATAGTGATAAAAAAATCTGCTTTTATGAGCAAAAAAAAATCGGTTGAATTCATATTGAAACTCACACAAACGCACTCAAGAGTTGTAAAAAACACAACGTGCAATCCCGGTAATGCCCCGTTCCCGAACCGCGCCCCGCAGTAGCCGCTCTGCGTGAATGGTTGCATAGAACACAATGGAATACAGCTTTGTGCACAGCACCACATCGGCCCCGCGTTCACCCCAGGCCGCGTCTGTTTGTCATAGCGGGGCCAACCGGACTGCGCCGCCCCGCCACCTGGTATCGTTGTGGCAGGATGCATAAGAATGCAAACATTACAAAAATTCCCGGATCCGAAACGCTCTCGCTACCGCCTTTGTGTGGCCAGAGCATTATTGCTGACGCATTGAACGTCTCATAACTGCACCTCCAATTAACACTTAATTTTTTCACCCGTTCTATTTTTATTTTGTTTTTGTTTCTTTTTTTCACAAAATCGTTTATTTTTGTTTTCTTTTAATTTTGTTTCTTTATTTTTTTTTTCACGAAATTCGGGGATTGTTGGTAAATAAATATGGCTGTGTACAAAAAAAATAGAATTAAAATAAAGTTGGCGTATTGTTCATTAGACGATACATCTAATGAACAATACGCCATATTTATTTTTTACGGCTCCATCCAAGGAATAATTGACTACTTGGGATACCACAAAATTTGGATGTCCATTACAGCATTCCTATAAACATTCTTCAAGCAACGCCTGTGAGAAACTTCTGAAGCTTCTCCCTCAGCTGGTGGCAGCAACCATAGCTATTATACAAGCGTTCTAACAGAGGTACAGATAGTGCTGGGTCATGGAAAAAAATCCATTTCGAAAAAGAAGTAGGTATTTTTTCAGAAAAATATTTATTTTCCTGTATTTGTCCACATTTGACAGTTAACACCCGTCAAAAGTTGAAGATACTGAACGAAAATGATGGAGCCATTATAAAGATTTTTTTTACCTATGATTCTTTTTTTTGCTGTTGTGCAATAATTTTAAATCTCCTTTTACTCTAACCCGCTTTTAGTTATGTAATTTTATTTTATAAAATAAATAAAACTTCAAAAGACATCTCAACGTAGAACAGGAGTCGTAGCCCACAAAACATATTTTTCAGAAATTTATCCGGAAAAATTTCCACTATATTGATATTTTTCGGTAAATTATCCAACAGAAAGAACAAATACCTACGCGTTAAGAAATAGTTCGTCAGAAGTTTCTTTGGGTGATAGTGCTGTAACACATCCTATAAGAACTCAATACAATCCGATATGTGCCTCTACCACGAGACTTATGTGAGTTGTCGCTAGCGACCGCGTAAATTACTTTACAATTGTTTTGTATGGCAAATTTGATATTATATATGACAAATATTCTATGTAGTCGTTAGCGATAACTGACACTGTAATCTCATGGTAGAGGCGCGATGTGTTTTATGCGGAAAGTAATACTATCTCGAATTGGATATGGGTGGGGAAGTTCATCAATATCGAACTAGTTTCGACAACATTACAGATTTTATATATAATGTATAGATTTACTCATCTTACACTGGACTTCATCCAAATCCCTAATGGTTTTATGTTTATTCATTTTAACTCACGTGTTTGTCTGAGTCGGGAGAGTAAACTGTAAAACTAGAATACTCAGAATACCTTCATAAATATGTAGTAACATTGCCAACTAAAATGCAATCCGATGGCATTGCAACTGAAAATTTGCAATAAAAATGCAGTTTGAAAGCAATTGGTGCTATCACAACCCGATCATAACTGCTAGAGTAGTCCGGTTGTCGTTGCAATGCATTCGGCACAACAGCACGCCCGCTGCACTACATTCTACAGTTTTCATGCAGGCGCGATGAAATGGCACTACTACGTTTCGATTTTGAAGAGTAAGGTTGATGGTGAAATTACAGACACTTGTCAACTTATATCTCAGGGTGACGGTCGCAGTGACATTGCCCCTCATCTTGTGTTTTAAAGCTCTGAGTGGCACTGCAACTGTTATGGATAGGAGTGTCGATTACTACACACTATCACAAAAAACTATAAATTCGGTCACCGAGGTCATCAAAAGTTATAAAATTCGATTACGAAAATGTGGAAATCTATGAATCACGATAATTAATAAAACTCATCGACATTGACCGTTTAAGTAAAATGGACATAGTTTCTATATTTAGATAATAAAATTTGACATTAAAAGTTCGCGGTCACAAACTTGTTAGGACCTTGTGAATAATAAAAACAATACTACTGTGGTTTTAACAGACTTCAAGAAGGAGAGGAGAGAGAACTTTTAATTCAATTGTATTTCCAGTTTACAGCTTTAGGGTGACTGACTCTTCAGAGGCAGAGTCGCTCAGGTCTTTGCGATTTAAAACTTTTGAGTGGCACTGCAACTGCCATGGGTACGCGTGTCGCTTACCACCAGGCTTACAGGATATCATAGAAAATGTAAAAAACCTGCAGGTGCGTAGCTACATGCGGCAGCGGGGGTATCAAGGGCAATTGATACATTTTTGTATAAGTTTGTCATAATTATTTATACAAAGATCGAACACTCCGAAAAAATTCCTTCGAACCGATGTCTCCTGTAAAGCTGTAAAGATGACGCTGTAAAGGTATCTAACTGGGTGACGAAATACTTTCATAGATTTCTCATAGATGGCGCTACGGCTAACAAATCGTTGAAAATCTTGTCAAAGATCCGACAATAGGTACATAGAAAAAATCGTGAGGTCCGCTGGTTCGTTCCGTGGTTAAGTTGGCATAGCATCTGGCACGGTTTGCTAGCGACGTCGGTTCGAATCCGGCCGGATCGAAGGATTTTTTCTAAGTGTTCGATCTTTCTATTAATAAAATTATAACAAACTAGTGGGGTAATTCCCCAAAAAATAATTGGATATCAATTCAATATAAATTTCAATTTGTATAAGTTTCTTTTTAACCTCTTTTTGTAAATTATAGTGCATCAACCGGGCTTTAAGAAAATTCGAGATGGTACTACAAAATAGGCTGTATGGATTGTATTTAGAGCTGTCTGAAGAATAAATATAGGTTTGTATTTAGAATTACATAAAAATAAAAGAGCATTGTAGTAAAATCAAGATGGCGGTTGTTCTGGAAAAAACTTCGAATTGAATACACGTGGTAAAGTTTTATTTATGATTATTTTCCTCGTCTCTCATTGAAAAGTGCCTCTCGCTACGCTAACCCACGGCTATGACCCTTACAGCGCACTGCGCGTAGTTGAGCTGGAGTAGCAAATGTGGATTGGATGATTGACCACGTTATGACAATTTCAAAAACATGTGCGAAGTAATCGTGAGCTCGTATGATGTTCAAATGATTATAAGTAACAAAATTCAAAAATAACTGCAGTAACAAATCGGTACCTCCAATAAACTATGGCGTAGTGCCATCTTTATTTTTTGGTTATTTTCTGTAATTTTTGTAAACACCCATATTTATTCGGTCCCCGAATTTTGTGAAGAAAAATAAAGAAACAAAAAAACAATAATCGAAAAAAAAAATTTTGTGAAAAAAAGAAACAAAAAACAAAATAAAAACAGAACAGGTCCAAAAATTAAGTTGACACAGTGTTCATTGGATACAGAAATAATCAAAGTAACCATCATGGCTTTGGAGGCAGCAGGCTGAAGTGCTGGCCACGTCTGATGGTGAACTGTCAACCGCTAGTGCAAGAGTCTGGAGTGGAGACCACGTACCTAAGCGTAGTGAGATGCCCCCGGTCAGAAGAAACAAGACGTACATGAATAATAATAATAATAATAATAATGGGCATTGTTACCAGCCTCGGCCTTATGAAGTTTCGTCTCTGGCTGTAATTTTATTTTATTCCAGTATTTATAATGTATAAAGTGTAGTGTTTACTTACAAAGTAGTATTGCAGCTTGATGGTACAGCTGGACCATTCCAAGGCAGGTGTTCGGAGCTGTTCGTCTGCTGGAAGCCGATGTTCTTTGTGACGGCATTCAGAGAATTTGAGGAGCCCTTGGGGCTCGACCCCATGGGAGATGGTTCCCGCATTTGGGTGAAAAGGTCTGTCACCTGGAAACAAATGGAAATATTATACAGATTTGAGTTTATATGTATTGCACGACGCTATGTATATTTGAATGAATGAAATATTGTTACATAAAATCACAGTTGAAATACAATACAGTTAGGTATAAAGATAGTAAGATAAGGTGCAACAGGCGGCCTTATTACTATGAAGCAATTTCTTCCAGGCAACCTTAGGATAGAAATTTGGGATATGCAAAAGGGGGTGCAACCAAAGTATGTTATTGTAAGTAGAGTATATAATAATTATTAATAAACTCATATACGTAGATAGAAATATCCATACAAATGTTATTAATACATGTAAATACATAAATAATAATATTAAATCCTTATATACTTTAAAAGGAAAAAGAAAAATGAAATAATAAGTACAGAATGTAGAGAAAAAGACAAAATTTTTAGAGGAATCAAGAGAAGGGGAACCTTGAATAGATTCAGGGTTCATTCAGTATGTTTGTATTTAGTTTAGTAGCAGTAGAACACCTTGTAAAAGAATATGGGCATTATTGTGTTACGTTTTTGAAGGGTAAGTGCTGGTGAAATTATAGGCATATGGAACTTGTCAACTTATGTCTCACGGCGATAGGCGCAGTGGTAGTGCCCCTCAGATCTTTGCGACTTACAGCTCTGAGTGACACTGCAACTGTTATAGACAGGCGTGTCGCTTAATACCAGGCATACGTTCGTCCCGACACTTGGAAGCATTAAAAAAGATATTTAACTTTCATTGGGTATAATTATTAACACAAAGATCGAAGTCTCAGAAAAAAATCCTACCATACTTTTAGTGCCCCATCGTTACAAAGTCTTAGTCGATCCAGTTTTGGAATGACTACAGACGTATTATTAGACTTATCTTCTACAGATATGTACACTAAACGTGCGCCCAAACCTACCTATTCACTACTTACACGCGTCAGAAAATATGCAAAAATGTGCAAAAGACAGTCTCCATTTTCTGTCTATGTTCCTCGAAATTTAGGTAAAAAAACTCTACCTATTCCGTTCCTTGGTTATCATCCACACTAATACACGGAATTAGACCCGTCGCGGTCCCCACCGGCTCTCTATGTATTTCACGCTTTATTGAAGCGCTGCAGAAGCCGGTAAGGAATGTCTGAATAGTTCGTTGAAATTGTGAATTACAAAAATCCTACATTTATTCAAAACAATTGCCATTTAAATAAACAATCCACAACACGAATAAAAACAATCGAGTTTTCACCTTCAAACGCACATTTCAGCAGAAAATAATTTGCTTCTGCCGGATTATACAGGCTGATGATATCGCGTGTAAAGAAAACACCATTAAAATGATTGCACCCAATACAAGTAGAATCTATAGAGCGCAACCTTGTTCTGATTACTAGTGTTGGTCATGTCGATAGCTGTTTTTACTTTTCAAAAAGTTGTTAGCTGTATTTTTTCAGTAATTTTTAATTATTTTATTTAGTATATTATATGCAGGACTTTTATTCGATATAGTCGATACTAGAACATCTGAATATCTTTATGAAACACTAACGTGGTCATCTCGTGTTAACGTATGCTATAGAGAGAACTGCCCGATCATGTGTGCTTATGGTACTGCAAGTAGTTAACCTGTAGTTATCAATAAAGCTCCTTGTGAAATAGTTTACCCGGGAAAGTACTGCCACGTTACCTATTTTTGCCGCCAAGCAGTAATGTCAGCATTACTGTGTTCAGGTTTTGAAGGGTAAGAGTGCTTGAGAAATTACAGGCACATGGGACTTGTCAACTTATGTCTGAGGGTGACGGGCGCAGTGGCAGTGCCTCTAGGGTCTTTGCGATTTAAAGCTCTGAGTGGTCCGGCAACGCTATGGACAGGCGTATAGCTTACCACCAGGGGCACGGCTTGTTCGTCGTCAAAACCTGAACGCAAGTAATTCTCACATTATTGCTTGGCAGCAGATACAGGTAAAGTGGCAGTACTTCCCTAAACGAACTCTTTTACAATGAATTCTACTGCTACAAAAATATTTTGCTATGCTAGTCTATAAATAGTCAAACGTTAAGTATAAATGGCGGTAGAAATAGGTATGGCGGTGGTGCCTACGAGGATGTGTACTGCACTAATACATTGCCGTATTAAGAAGCCTTTAGAGTGACTTTTGTAATTAGACCAATAGTTATGTAACGAAAACAATCAATGTCAGTACTGTTTTATCGATAAAATTCTATAGAAAACAGCACAACACTAATGGTCGCGAGACCTCGCAAAAATGTATGTTAATAGTGAACTTCATCGAGGTTTTCCTCGACTAGAAATAAGGAAAACAACATTGTTTGTCATAAATAAAAATATAATACCAGAATATTATAAAATTATGGTAACAAGTAACATTGAATGCCAATGATATTTTATACTGGTTGAAAAATAATATGATTTAAAAAATCACCAGTATAGCAGCCTCAATAATAAATCGTGTCATAATTTAAAAAATAATATCAACGTGATCATAATAAATATGACTAAATAACTAACTAAAAATCTTTGAAAAAATGAACACGGAAAGTTTGTCATTTACGGAGCGTGCGACTTCTTCCCAATATATGTATGTACGAAAATCCATTACTGTCCATTTCTCTAAACTTTTAAATCTACTTACTAAAAATGAACTATGTAAACAGGCAAGAGAAACACTCACAGCCAACTACCGTGTTCGTAATTACATCCTAAGTTACATAATTTAATCGATTTTTTTTAAACAAGGCGGTAAAATGATCTCTTAGAAGATGGACGAAAAAGTCTAAGAATAAACTAAAGTCCTTTGGTATTATTTTCTGTTTTTTTTTTTTGGCCTTTTTTCTATTTTGGCGCGAAAATAAGTTCTAGTGAGAAGAGCGATAACGAAAATATCTGCAAATACTATGCCTAATATTACTTTTAATTTTAATTAACATTTTTTTTAATTTTTCTAAACATCTTCTCTTTAGTCTTCTATTAAAATCATATATAAGCTATATAAGCCTCTTTTAAGCCCTATTAAACACTATATATAAGGGATTGCTTGACTCGTATTAATACAAGGCCTCGCTGGTGCTCTGCCATCTACCTCGCACCCCTGAAGCAATTTCTTACTTCCCGGCCTATGTATTAATGTACTATTAGTTTTATTTTGTACGTTATTGGACAACTACCCGTGCCAAGCATTGACGCACCCTCAACAAGAAAGCGACGGAAATCCAATGATTTGCCATGAAGAACGGGACCTCTTCGCGGGTCGGGAGATATATTTCTATGGCCTACATTTATTTCTCTCGTGAGTTTGGGTGTAATTTGTCGTTGTCTATGTGCGTATCCATGGCACCTGGCTATCTTTACAGGATCTCCCTAGTGCGGGGCTATGAGTGTGACAGTCACACACTAGCCACGCCCATATCATAATAATAATTAACGAATTATAGAATGACAAACAATCGTCACACCCACAGCGGCCTGGTATTAATCGACACGCCTGTCCATAGCAGTTGCAGTGCCATCGAGAGCTAAAAATTACAAAGATCTGGAGACACTACTACTCCACCCGTCACCCTGAGACATAAGTTGACAAGTCCCATATGCTTGAAATTTTACCAGCATCCCTACCCTTCAAAACCGGAACGCGTAATGCTAACTAACATTACGGCGGCAGAAATAGGGAAGGTGGCAGTACTTTCTTGGACGAGCTCTTTCACAAGGGTATCTACAGCTACTATTATATAAATCCATATACTTTGATCGATATTACTATACGTCGCTAGTATTAGCGACATGATTGGCAAAGTCACGGACTGTGGGAAGCCACCTTTACCAATTAAAAACATGGGTAAAATGCGTATTGTTTGTTCTATGATGTAAAATGTTAAATAATAATATATAACATCCTTGTCGATGACTTCTTAAAGCTCAGGCTTAAAGTTTTTCCTTATAATTAAAATTCTTTTATCAATATTTCGCGACGCAGTGTTAAGTACAAGGATGTAGTCAGATGGGACATTGTTGAGAGGGGCTCGTTTTAAGCATTTGAGTTTTGTAATACGATGTGTTGTAATAACATTGAGTTTTGTAATAACAGCCATGGTAGACTTGGAAACGCTTGAATTTAGGCGAAAATGGATGCTCGTAGTACATTATCTGTCAATCGTGCGCAGTAAAATTGACTGTCCTGATATCCTGGAGAAATTCGGCATTCAGGTGCCCAGTCGCATCAGTTGGGATGAGACTGGGATAGTGCCTCCGCGCAGACGGCCGCGCTTGCTGCAAAGGCCGTTTGTACGTACAATTCGCGCTGCGCACGCTCCCTCCGTGCGGGCGCTCACGCTCATCGGCGATATGCTTGCTGACCGCTATGACATAGATCTATTTGCCGATTCCTTTGGACAACTTCTTATGAAGGCAAACATATTTTTAAATGACTATTTTTTACTTATAGAACATTAGTTATTCAGTAGGTTAAAATTATGACATTTTAAAATTGTATTATAGTATTTTTAATTCATGTTGATTCTATTTGATTATTTTAATTTTAATTTTTTATTTTTTTTTATTATCAATGTAACCTAAGCTAGTGGGTGTATTGGATAAGCTCTGTAATACCACTCGACATACTGAATAAATGAATAAATGAATGAATAAATGAATAAATGAATAAATGAATGATGCTATATTACCTTAAGTATTTTTAGTATACTTATCATGATTGCTTGAACGATGAAGAAAATTTTTATTTATTTTATTAACCGACTTCAAAAAAGGAGGTTCTCAATTTGACCGTTTTTTTTTTGTAAGTATGTTACGCGATAACTCCGACATTTGTGAACCGATTTTGAAGATTCGATTTCTTTGTTGGAAAAAGGGTACCTCAGTAGTAGTCCCATTTAAATTTGAAAAAATATTCCATCTCTAAGGGTAGCAAACTAGGGGATGAAATTACTTTTGAAGTCGTTTTTTCAGTACTCTGCACTGATTTATTTATTAT